CAGTTTCTACTACTGAATGTTTTGTCTTGTCTTGCAGAAGTAGTCTGTCCTTCCTTCCTTCCTTCCTTCCTTCCTTCCTTCCTTCCTTCCTCTAAAAAAGGTGATTTATGCCTCCTCCTCACTATAGGATTGGAACTGGTATGGAAACAAGGATAAGCTGCTCTCCAGCAGGCACTTAACAGGCTGTTCACCCTACACATTCTCACCAGCCTCATCAGGAAGAGTTTAATTAAAGGGAACTCTGGAAGGTTTCTGTGCCTCTCCACAAAGGTGCTGCAATTGTGTTTTCTTAGCATAAAAATAATCATAGACCAGATAGAGAAAAAAACCACACAGAAAACATTGGAGTTAAGTAAACTGACAACATTAATGATGGATACTTCGTTACATCTTAGTGAATAAAGTTAATACTTTCCTGTATAGGTGTGACACTGAAAGTAAGCTTTTTGGTTTAAAAAAATCAAGTGGAAAGTGAAGTATGAGATCTGCTGGGACTTTAGAGGGTTACTGCCAATTATAATAATGTTAACTATGGAATTGATAGGGAAATAGTCTGACATGACATTGGGCAAATTCTTTTCTCACCTTGTAGGCAGCAAAGGAAATGAATGAAAGAAAGAATAAATGAATGAATAAGGAGGAATGAAAGGAAATGTGAGTGCTTTGTTTGGAAGGGTTGGGGGTTCCCTTTGCACAAGCATCCTGCCCTGAAAACAACAATGCAGGACTGATATTTTGTAAGCATTTGATAGGAATCCATGCCAAAAGCTAGGAAGATTTCCCCTCTGAGAAATGCACATCCATGCCACATTTGGTACACCAGGAATTCTTCTGGGACCAGCAGCCTCAATCCCAGGTGCGGAAAATGTTCCACTCAGAGGATCAAATTGAACAGCATACTGGTTCCCTCAATCTTGCCATCATTACACCCCTAGTTCTCTTTTAACAGGCCTTTCAGTCATTTATGGACTGGGCAATGTGACCCTTTGAAATGGCAGAAACTGGAGAATCATCTGTGATTTTCCTGATCCACAGGTATGCAGTAAAAAAGTCTTTTCAACACTGATGCAAAGGTGGCATTCAATTTGGCAATGTGTTGCTCTAGAGAGGCCCTGCTAATATTTGTCTATATATGTACCACTTGTCCTAGATTTGTACAGTACAGGCACACATGGCTTCTGAAGCATTCTTAAAAATAACAGAATGTCACAGAGGAGAAGAATCCATTTCTAATCACTAACCATGTCATAGTCCAGTATTTAACAGGAACACTTGATATTAACAATCGCAAGTGTACTGCATACAGCATTCTCAACCAATAGACGTCAATGATTCCAGCACCAAATAATTTCTGTTGGAATTCTGGCATGCAGAACATTTCTCATACTGTAAAACTGTTAGCTTAAAGGACAGAAATCTGGATCCAGGCCAACACATGGACAACAGTGCAATGTAGTAAATTTTAAAACAATTTTAAAATATTGGGAAAAGCCCAGAATTTACCTCTTAGACCTCTACCCTGACACTTCCCCACACTCCCATTTTCTGTGATTATGGAGGAGTTGTATGATGTGAAATGAAATATTTGATCTAGTTATTCTCTGCTAAAGATGTGAAGCCTGTGAAAGTTACAGATCTGATCTCCCATTGTGGTTTTTCTTGAACAAAATGACTCCATGGTTTTGCAGTAGTTACCACTCTGGAAAAGGGAGCCCTTTTACCACTTCTTATTGCCAACATTTCCTTGAGGGTTTGTGGAAGAGCAGGCTGCTTACCAAAATTGCAGGCCCCTGTGCTGCCTCCTTCCCCTCCTATTGGAGCTTTTCCCCAGAGGCAGCACAGCAGAAGTGCCCATAAAGCTCCAGCCTTGAAACGGGTGTGGGAGGAGATGTGTGTTTTGGAAGCCCTGCAGGCACCAGCAAACAGAGTAAAGTAGCTGAACAAAAGAAGGTGTTTTTCCTTCAAAGGGAGAGAATGGTCCAGAGGGGGAAAAAGTATAGAGGCACAGCATGGAAAAGTGCAAGTATAAAACTACAACGTGGAAAGTTGCAACTACTCTGCATGCTGGCCAGTAACGGAGAAGAAAAAAAGCAGAAGAAATTCCAGAGAGAGAGGAATTAAAGCAGAACAGTGTTTGCAAAAAGAAAACATTGTTATATTATTATACAGTATTGTAATAGTAATAGAATGGTAATAGAGTATAGTAATTATAATTGTTATAGTAATTGTAATTAATTAGTGCAGTAATATAGAAATAATAGTAATAGAATAGAATATAGGATAGAGGCAATAGAAAACATTCACATGTAAATTTCATATTTCACTTTTGTATCTTGGTTTTTGCAAAATAAAACATCTCCCCAACCCTTATAGGGAGATACAAAAACCTACCTGTCCAAGGGCCCAGTGTTTTTGTGGATCTTTTAAGTCTGTGTCAATCTAATTGGGTACAGCTTTAAAAAAGAACCCGTGACAGTGTTTAGTGTGTTTTATGACAAAGATCTAGAGACAAAAAGTAAATACAGTAATATACGGTGGGGCTAGCTGTCCACCTCATGCAAATTCTAGCCAACCACCACCAGAAGAAAAGAATTAATATTTTTGGAATCTACTTGCTGCCCTCTAGCGGTCATCTAGAATTTGCCGTCCAGACCTGATAGCCCTAAGCATTAGAGACCTAAGCCATGTGTGCAGTGCCAGGTTGCCCTTTCATGACCATGGACCACCAACCATTTGAGGGCAGGAACAGACTACACCATTCTCTATGGGCCTCAGCTCAATATGAATGCGATCTCCAACTCATGTTTTCCTGCTCTGTATTGAAAGTAGTATCTTCCAGTATTTCCATAATTTTTGTGCTGGGTAAAGCATTGCTGTCCAGTTTGCCAGGAGTGATTCGATTGGCTATTGTGCATCCTTTCATCTGGTCAGTAGTTGCTGCTATGAAGCACTAATCTCTGCTACAGCCACCATTACCAGTGATGGTCCAGTAGCACGGTTGTTATTTGCCTAACATGCAAAAAGTCACTAACTGGAAACTTGATACACATTTTTTTTTAGAATAGTATATTTTCCCCTTAAGTTACCCACTTTTTCACTGGGCTTTATAAATCTAGAGTTTTCTTTTCTTTTTTATTCAGCTCCCAAATAGCCCAGATTGAAACTGCAGTACTTATTCATTTGATCTGTTTGGTAGGTGGTGTGAAATTGTTCTACCTCAAGTGATAGGAAAAACAATGAAATGGTGCACCATTGAACTTGTTAAAAGACACACACACACACATATACCCTGTAAGGTCCATCCACAGAATTATTAAAATTCTGATGGGTGCCAGGAATCCATGTCTGGAGCCATCTTAGTTATGAAATACATTATTCAGAATGGTCCTGCTTGATATTTAACTTTTTTTTCTTGCCATCTTGCCTGGCTTTAATACTGCTGTGCTTTGGATTTCTTCCATTTGATTTTAATCTAAAGTTGTTAAATTAAACACTTTGGAAAAATAATTTTTATACCAGGGTATAAAGGATGAAAAGAAATGTTATGAAGAAGTGCCCCTGTAGGACTGCAGTGCCTAGCCCACTTTGGCTGTTCTTAAAAGCTTAAGTAAGGTTAGGCCTGGTTAGTATCACCAGGAAATACTCAGCCCATAGGGTGCACTGGGAAGTAAAAAAAAATCCCAGAAGAAGGAAATAATCAGATGCTTCTGTATGGTTGCCACTAGTTCTACTTATACATGTCCTTGAAGTCACCAGAGCCAAGCCTGACTTGAAGGTGACATGCTGTTATGAAGAAATGAGAGACCTGGTACAACTGCTTGTGTACAGCTATATCCTTGGCTTCATTTCCCTTACCTGGTTTCTCTACTTCATCCCAACATGAGTGGGGGTTCCACATCTTGGAAGAATGAATGTTGATTTCGTGGCTCTCCATGCTTTCTGCCAGCCTCCCTGGGGAGCCAGGGGGGAAGGGCTCAAGGTCAGGACCGACAGTGGGGAACAAACGCGCTCTAGGATTCAGGTTCGTCTGTAAAACTATAGAGAAAGAAATGCTTATTTAAGAAACCACATCTCCCAAATGGCAGGATCTTCTTTGTGTATCATTTGTGAGATTATCTATGGCACTCTTCAAAGAAAGACGCAGGAAAAACCTACTGTGCCATCCCATGGAGAGCCAGTACCAGCTCCTGTTGGAACTGCTGCGATACTTATACCTCTGAAGCCATGTTGCTTTAGCTATGTTCAAAAGTAGGCTTCAAGGCAGCTCTACAGGAGACCCCAGGTATCTATAGAGGAACCACCTCCCACAACCACTCTTTGAGGACAAAAAAAGCATGGAAGATTCATTGAACAAAAAAGAGAGTAACACCCAGCTGTCCCAAGAATACAAGGAAAGACATGAAGAAAGTGAAGAAAAGAAAAAAGAAAAGGGGCAGAACTTCAGCTGCAATGCTCAGGGATCGAACAAGACTCTTGAGCTGAGTACCTTGGAGGCTATGGCAGAAGGAAAAAGGTGGTGCCTGCAAGACTCTTCCTCCTCCTGTGGATTGAAAGCATTGCCCTGGATTTTCTCTCCCGTAAGGTAGCATCATAGCTGCCAGCTGAAACAGACATCCCCAATGATAAACATGAGGCTTGTTTCAAGGGAATTCCAGATGCTACCCTATGTTCAGCAGCCAGGAGGCCATAGATCTTAATCATTTATCCAGGCTAACAGATAATTATTGCAGATAGTTGCATATCTACTGCTTCCAACTATATTCTTATTGCCATTGGGGCTATACCTAAATTGCAAGGGGGGTTCTGTAGGTGGGATTGCATTGTGACTAGACAGTGCTACCTTAGCCAGAAGGTCAGAAGGGTTTAGCTGGGCTGGATAATAATTAATATAATAAAACTCTGCCTGCTGTGATAAAGGCATTTTTCATCCTAAGGAAATCCCCTGGGCTGATTCAGCGTTAGGCTTAAGAAGCTGAAGCCTCTGGTCCTGTTTCCAAGTCTGCTGAAGCCTAGGACCCTGGTGCTACTCCAGGCTCTTGTCCCTATGTGTTCCCTTACCTGCTGCAGGTGAGAAAATCAGGGGAACATCACAAGGTCACAGGCTATGTCCACAGTTCCCTTGCAGGCAAATTGAATGAAGAAACTCTATGTCCTTTATACACCAGACAAGAGCAAAGTCTAAAGAGCTGTGTGCTGCCCCTTACATCAATTACACAGTCCCCCCACCCCCTTCTCAAAATTCCTTTAGTTAATTGCTAACTTCTACATCATCCAGAGTTATGGAATAAAATGATCTGCTTGCCATGTTGGTAAGGTACAAGCTGGGTCCAAACTGCCCAGGATACTAATCTGGTCCTGGCTGTAGGACGCTCAAACTACCTTTCTAAGTGTAAGCATGCTTAAGCCTCAGAAATGAGCCTTGTTGTTGCTTCTCAAAGGAACCCATGTCAGGTGGGCTTTGGAGATCTAACAAAGTATTTCTGCTTAATTTTCAACACAGTAAAGCAGTGGCAAGGAACCTTTTTTGGCCGCTGGCTCACTTGAAATGTTGATAGCATTTGTGGTGGGTTCACAGAATAGCAGTATAGAAGGCATGGCCAGTGATAAAATGTCCATCTACCAGACAGCAAACCAGCACTCTAGTATACTCTAAAGGATCTAGAGGACCTTTGTGGGGCTTATAAGCAGTCCTGCAAATATATAGCATGCTAGAGGTTGATGTTTTGTTTTTTATCATGTAATCTTCCCATTTTAATGATTTTGTAGCAAAATAATTTTTAAAAACCCAAGAAGACATGGAGCTTGATAACACCAAGAAATGCGTCTGGAGTAAATTTAGTGCCTGCAAGGACAACATAAGCTATTCCTGAGATAGTGATTTTAATGGTACGTTATACAGAATCAGGATAACAGTTTGCTTTATATACCAGGTGTACACACTAGGAATGGTCTGGCCTAATAATAGGAAACAAACAGATGTAGATGAAATTCATGTAAACATATATAAAATCTATCCAGTATGGCATGTCCTATGGTGAAGCGGGCCACAGACATTGCCATACAAGGTAGAGACTGTTAAGACAATATAAATAAGAATATTTTTTCTCACTACTTTGTACAATGTTTCTCTTTTGGTATTTGCATTTACCTACTATTTTAAAAAATTATTATTATTATTTCTGATCAAAACAGAGCTCTTTTGTCTTTAAGCTATGTAGCAAAGAACTGCAGTTTGTTGGGTTTTTAAAATCACATGAAAATTGGAAGGAGAGTTAACTCAGTAGCCAAGAAAGGACTTCAAGCTTAATATTCACCCACCTGGCGCCCTTCACAAAGGACAGGGAATTTATTCTGGACATTTAAAGACTGCCAAGACAAAGACATCTGCTCTGTCAAAGTAACACAGATTCCATTTAGATCAGAAGTTGGCAAGCAGTAGCCTGCCATTTGATATTATAACCCTACTATTCCCTTGCCTTGTTCATTGGCATGGATTATTTCTTTTAACTAGTCTGTTTTTGTATCTTTAATAACAGCTGTAATCTGCTGTTTAAGGTTAAACATTAAATATGTTTAATATGCAGAAATGAAGACAGTTCTTCCAAGTCATTGCTTGCCTGCATTTAAGAAATACCTTGTAAGGTTGCTCCTTGTTGTGAGCTCCAAGTGGTGTGGAGTTTGGCTGTAAGGCATACCTACTTTAGCTTTCCAATAGCTTTCCTAGATAAATCAATTCAAGGAAGTTGCTTAGCAAAATTAGACCAATTACATGTCTTTGTTCCATTGGAGAAGAAGCAAAGTACAAGCAGGAAAGAACATATAGATTGGCCTTGCATGATAGAATATCAGTGGGCAATAGGTGGTTAGGCTGCAGCTCCAAATTTTCTCAGTATTGGCCATGCTGGCTAGAGCTGATGGGACCTGGAGTCAAAGAACATCTGGAGAGTCACCTCTTCCCTACATTTAGAATGGCTTTGCATGAATGGCCCACTTCTTACACAAATGATTTTAACATCGGTTTTGGCTTAGCAGTTGTTGAATTCAGCTACTATGATTTATAAGCTATGGCTTCTAGATAATTGTGATGAGTGAACCTAGTCCATTGTGGTTGTTTAGCAAATCGTGGTTCCATGGAGTGCCAACTCAAGGGTATATGGTGTGCTCAGGCCACATTGACTGATGGCACCACTTCCTGTTGACGAGATTTGCATTTTTAGAAAGATTCAGTACAGTGTTTCTTAAAGTTGTGGTCCTAGGACCCTTGGGGGTTCCCCAAGACCCTCTCAGGGGTCCGCAAAATCAAAATTATTTGCCAGCCTATGTTGAAAAATAATACAATATTAAAATCCATCCAACAATCATGAGAAGTAGTAGCAGCAGCAAACACATCAATTTTAATTTTTAATACAGTAAATATCAGTAAATATAACCCATACAAACAAAAGCAAAATTATTTGCCAGCCTATGTTGAAAAATAATACAATATTAAAATCCATCCAACAATCATGAGAAGTAGTAGCAGCAGCAAACACATCAATTTTAATTTTTAATACAGTAAATATCAGTAAATATAACCCATACAAACAAAAGCTCTTTTAGGGCCCTGAGAGAAAAAAAAAAACTTTTAAAGGGGGAAGGGGTCCTGAGAGAAAAAAAAATTAAGAAACACTGATTCAGAAGAATGGGCAGCATTGGCACCCATTAAGCTTTGGTTTGTGCACTGGATCTGTCTGGGATCATGCAACCCCATCCAGAATTAAAACAGTAAATTCCCAGATCCTGGTGGCCCCAAAACCTAAAGTCACTCAGTCTTGTCAGGGTTGAGCCAAAGCCCACCCAAACTCCTACAGCCTCCAAGCACTGAGACAGGATATCAACAGCACTGCTTACTTCACCAGGGGTGGAGATATACGGATGGGTATAATCAGGATATTGATGATACCCCACTCCATGGCTATGGGCACCTCACCCAGTGTGATGGAATGGAATTATGAAGGCCAGACTCAGGGAGAAAAACATTTTCTTTCATCTCCTGAAGCTTTAATATTGTATTATTTTTTTTAATATTGTATTATTTTTTTTAATATTGTATTATTTTTGGTTTCAGTCTGGGAAGATTCTTGCTAGAGGTTGTAGCTATTAAACATTGCTGGACTGAATTTACATGGTCTTTGGAGTTCCTCGGGCTAGGCCTGACATCAATCTTTATCAGGATAGCTTCCCCAGGCATGGCCATCTCCCAGCCTCCTTTGCAGCACCCAGGAGAAGTTCAGAAAGGGCTGCTGCATGACCAAACATCTTTGACTGTGCATTGCTAGTGCATAGGGATAACTTGACTAGCCCAGGAAGCACCAGTCTGCCAGTCCTGTCCACTAAGTGAGAGGGCACATTCCATGCTGTTGCCTCTCAGGAGCCTAAAAAGCAGATTGTGGCAATTTATACTAACTATAATGCTAAGCATAGAATGAATGGTGTGCGTTCCTTCCTGGCCATTTGGAGTAGAGCATTCCTTGCTGGCCATTTTATCTGAAAATAGATATGGCAGAGCTACAAAGAATGCAAAGGAAGTCAGCTAAAATGATGAAGAATAACTTCCTTATCAAGGAAGATTAAAGTGTTTGGTGCTGCTTAATATTGGGAGTTTATAATTTACGATACGATACGATACGATACGATACGATACGATACGATACGATACGATACGATAC